TTACCCTGCATGAGGCCAGAACCCCGAGGATGTTCTCGGACATGAGCAGCCCCTGTGAAGTCAAGAGGACCTCAGTCACACCACACTGATTTAACACCCAGAAAAGATGGGTGATCAGGGCCAAAGCCAACATCTGCTAACAGCTACCACCTTGTACAAAATAACAAAGTGACCTGTCTGACAATGCTGACCTTTCCAGGATGTGCACTCTGACTATTTTACATGTTTATGGTACACTTGTGCAGAGGTTTCCCAGAAATTAAAGCCTAAAAACCTTGGAAAGCCTTTAAGTTGTATCAGTGGCTAAACACTGATGTGTTAAAACAGTTCTATCAAACCATTCTTTATTTCTCAAAGTAGCAATCAGTTATTGCCTAAAGATTACACTGCATAATAAAATAATGTCTTAATAAAAGTGGAATTGTACAACTGTTTACACTGTAAGTTTTTCACAACAGACCCAACACAAATACAAGCTATAAGATAATGTCCTTAATGGCAAATAAACCAAGAATGGTTTTGAAGGAAAAATGTTTGAAGCAAATTCTTTTCTGTGTTCAGACAAGAATATCCACACTTCACATGCAATTAACAGGTACAAGAAAGTGAGAATCTGCCCAAGTGGCACTTAGGAACTATACATTACTACAGAAAGTAACTATTGCATTGATGTTTTAAACAGTGCTTCATGCAAAATTAATTATTATTTTTTTTTTTAAGCTGGTTTGTTAACAAAATCCAATTTTGCTTTAAAGGAAATAGTTTTTAATTTGTAAGTCTAATGTAATTTAAAATGCTCAGGAGTTCAAGAGTTATCAGCCCCATCTTAAAAATTCACATAGAAACACAAATCTAAGACTAGTCAGTTATGATAACTGGCATGTTATGGACACAGCACTGCATTTATTAAGGTTAATGGTAAAACTCCCATTGATTTTGACAGTGTAGAACCAGACCCTATGGGAATTTCATAGTTGGATCATTTTTACATCTGTTAATTCTGTGATCAGACACAGCACTGTTCTTTGATAGGCTGCACAAATGTTTTTACATCATCCATCGAGCAGATTACCTTTACAAATTAGAGAGACCGTAATAATAATTAGTAGTGGTTTAGATTTATTCTGTATTTGTGTAACTCTAGTCTCAATACTTCATTTTTCCCATTCACCAATTGCTACTTTTACAGCTTTTGTAAGTACAACTTTGTTTCTAAAACATTTTACTAAGCATTAGTTTTTAAAAAATGAGTTCTTGGTTTAAATGATTAAACTTTAAAAAGTTTCCATGGGTGACACTTTTAATCAAAATTAAAAATTGTAGTAATTCAACAAACACCATAGTGCCTGTCTTCATGGTTTAGTTTTTATACACTGAATATATCTGAATCTCTGCAGCATTAATGGTAGACAAGTTTGCTTTATTTGAGCTTATTAGAGAAACTTGTCCCAGTGTAACTTCACTGTCTTAGTTTACCTCAGTAGCGTATGGGATTGGAAGGAATCCCATGAATCATTCATTAAATTAAGCTTTCAAGAATCACTTCAGACCATTCACACACCTAATGCATTACAAAACCTTCCCAGTGCTCTTTAAGATCTGCGGAAGACCATGTCCCATACCACAACTGAAGACAAACAGTCCTCAGTGTCTCTGACACACTGACCGAGGAAAAACTTTGTGACTCCAAATCTGGTGATTGATTTTGAGAACAAGAAGATGGCACAGTGACCTGGGAGAGACCAGTGCTACCATGAGCACCAAACTATATTGTTCTGCATGCTGTCTATACCTCACGTGGAGGAGATAAGAATGAAATGGACCCAGAAGACAAGTTTTTCAGAAGTAAGAAAGGAAAAAAATAATCACCTTGGTTCTGCTGCATGATCAGCAGAGGTACTGAAGCATAGGATTTAAATAATTTAAAGGTGGTGCAGAAAAAAACTATCAATCAGCCCAGTCTTCTTCCAAAGTCACAGAGACTTGAGCCTCTCTCATACGTAAGGATTCATTATCACAAGCTTAAATTCCATTCTCCTGATTTTCATATTTTGTATAGCATGGCAGTGTGTTTCCAGGCGTATTAAGCACCGCCATAAAACAATGCACATTTTTTGTCTTCTCTCTAGTTTAAGACTTCTCAGGTAGACAGAAAGTTTTCCAGCTTCTAGCCTTAACATATTGTGACCCACTGGAAGACATCTGTAATTGTTTCAATATTATTCTTAAATTTAAATGATCTTCTTTGTTATGTATATTACTTCATATGATAGACATTCCATTCTCTTGGTCACTGTAATAGCTGTTAGTATATAGCAGCCCTGAAACAAGTACTGAAATCTGTGCATAAATAGTTTGTAAATATACTTTTTTGGGATCTAAAATAGCATCCGAGGCTTGGTATTGACTATATTTATAACTAACACCTTTAGCACCTAGAACAGTCTGGGGTTTTTTTGTTATTCTAGATGAGGTGTTTCCCTGTCTGAAGCACAGACGTACTTTTCCTGTTCAGCTTGACTGCTGATTTCTTATCTGATACAAATACAACCTATTTTTAAGGGGAAATCAACTGTGATCTGCAACTGTAGCCGACTGAATGACTTTAAGTATATTTACATAAAAATGTGAATATATTTTATTCTGTCTATTGAAATATAACTTGCTATAATTGAATTTATAAAGAGTACCTAGGTTTTGTTATATCACTAACTTAAAAAACCCTTCCAAAAATAATGGGCAAAATCTTGCTCAATTATACTGTTCTAAAGCTGAATTAATCTCAGGAGAACTGAGTTATCCTCTGCTTTAAAATTCTGCACACCATGAGCTTACATATTTGTTAATGCATTCATCTGAATCTGTCCAATTGCTTATATCTCCTAGTGTGACGTGATGCAGAAATGTGATAGCACCATGTATCAAGTAAAATAAAGATACAAACAGATAGTTGATACATGGAGTACTTACCATGTACATCTTTTTTCTTTTCTTATATCTACAAGCATTGGCCTTGACAGCATACAATGAGTATTACTGGGTAAAAGGGGACAGGAATGGTTTTGTGTCTCAAAGGCAAGCACTATGTCATGACATGCATCCACACAGAGATGTTTTCTTGTGCTGAACAGCTTGATTACCAAAATGAAATTTGGAAGAGGTCCTTGATCCATGGTAACCCAATTGTATTGAGGCCCTATCCTTGGGTTAGTGCTAGCTGGCCTAACCCAAAATCACAACAGGAACCATGCTGATGACTTAATGGTATGGATGATCACTTGCTAGTTCTCAGGCTGTGTCCAGGCCCTGGCTAGTTTACTGCAGTGGACATAGCCTAGGGCATGGTCCAATCCCACTACACCAACAAAGTCAATGTGGTCTCTCTAGTGAGAGTTAGACTTGGCCTTAGGCACGTAATTTTATTAACGTTCAGAAAATTACAACATAAGCAAAAATAACCCCAAAGAAAAACAAAAACCAGAAACTTGAAAATGAAACATATGCTTGCAGATTCAGTGCAAAAGCAAACTGAAGCAGAAGTTGCTAATATGGTTTTAGTACTTTGCGAAGGTGCCAGCTGGATGGATGATAATTTTTCTACCCCTGCAGGGCATCAAAGCTTTTATAAAATCATTCTTTTCACACATATTAGCACTTAGCTTATTAAAACAGATGATACTTTTTTTTGTAAAGCTGCCTGGGAGTGTCTGGAAATATAAAATCTGAGAGATAAGTCTTATTTTGACCACCCAGCCTAACAAACAACAAACACTGACATGACATACCATGGCTGAGAGTCTATGTTATGGGACCTTCTGTGACTGCCACAACTGTAGTGTCACAGTAAAGGCTGTGAATTGCTGTTATGAAAACATTTGCTGTAACTTGCATAATTAAATGAAACTGCCAGCAAAGCTTTCTAAAATACTTAGGAGATGACACACAAATAAATACATTTCAAAGTCTGCATTATGTTCCAGAACTTGTTTTGTAATAAATTGCATTGCACAGTGCTAGAGATGACTTCTTTCCCTGTTCATATTCCTACATAATTATAAGTGACTGAGATCACTGTCATGTAAATTGATCCAAGTTTATAATAAAGTAACTTTTCTTTTAGACATATTTTACACATGTAGTGCTTTGAATTCATACAGAAAGTAGAATTTCAGCTGCCTAGAGCTCTTCCTTCACACAACTCAGAAAGGGACATACTAGACATCAATTAGTGGTCAGAACTTGAATGAGCAGAAATATGCCCAAGAGTGTTTCTAGTGGCCTTCCAGGAGAACCTTGTATGAGGAAAATTTTGGTAGAGTACGTGATTATTTCTAACAAAAAGAGAAGGAATCAGAGCAAAGGAATGAGTGGCTGCAGAAGCCACTATTGAAGCTGAGGGAAATTACTGTGAAGATCCAGGCTGGCTAGCAGTGTGTGCGCCTTGAGGATGAGGGGACATACTACTCTGGAGAAGTGGGATTAGAATTTTGGAAATAAGCTTGATAATTCAATAGATGTTTGGTCAAGTTTAAGAAATTATTAAGTCTTAAACTAAAAACCCATACAACAAAATTCTGAAAGTCATTCCATGAAAATACCAGTCAAACCATAGATGTACCTGGTGTAACTGACCTCTTCCTGTATATGAGCAGGTAGTACAAGTTATTTATTTATTAGGGAAATCAGGTCTGCAATGGAGTCCACAAATGTAAAATCAAAAGATGGAATAAAGTTGGACTACTCACAGTGGAAAAATGACTATTTCAAATAATAATCTTCTACCAACTTTATTTATGCCTTCTAGCACTTAGAAGTTTCATGTAGAAAATGTTTAAAGAAAGGCCACCCTTGACAGCTGAAGATGATAAATAAAAAGCAAAAGAAAAAAAATGATCAACAGGGAAGAACATCTGAACGGCTTGCTGAATATCATCAAAATGCATCTTATCGCTTCTGACGTAGCAGTGATACCAGCAAGCTTTGCAAGGGTAGTTACTTACATCAAATAACTTCTCTATGTACATTTCCTCATTGACCTTTTCTCGAAGTATATCCTGGTTTTGTCGAACAAACATAATGTAGGTGTCTGCTAGATCCATCCCTGGTTTCTGTGGAGACATAAAGTAAGGGGAGAAAGTAGTGGGAAGGGAAGGAGCTACACTCAACAACTGAGAATAATAAGAAATACGTAAACATAATGAAAACTGAGATTATGTTAGAATGTTCACATATGTATAAACTCTATTTACAAAGTCTGCTGTGAATCTGGGTTAGTTGCCAAATTCAGGAGGGTTCACTATCAATAAAGTTCTCAGTGTTATAATTTATGGATGCTTTGAGTCATAAATCTACATTGCCATATGTAATGGCATGAAGTCTTGGCTCTGGTAACATCAAGGCAAACAGACATTTTCCCCATTTTTGTTAGTGAGGTTCTCATAGCTACTCCAGCCTCAAGGTCCAGATCCTGCTATCACATTCAGAAAATGCTTAAAAAAGCATTCAATTTCTTTTTCTTTGCCTCACAGTTGTTGCAATTTGCTTCCAACGTACAGCTGAATTTTGCATTTGAGGTTAGCTTCTACTAATTCCACTTCAAACAAAGTTCGAGTATTTCCCTGAGAGCAATGATATAGAAAAGTTGTTGTAAGAGTACACCTGTACCCCTATTTTTCTGAAACTGTTGCACTGTCTCAATCAGCTCAGGGGATGACTTGGGAAGGAGCAAGGACTGAAATGTTTCCCTTCTTGTACTGATCTCTGGTCTGTATGAATAGCAGAGTAGGCATAATTTTCACACCATGTTCCCAAACATGGGACAGGCTAGGATATGCCATGTATGTGATACTATATCAGGCCAGCCAGAGTGGTGGCTCAAACTGCTCTCTCCTGACCAGCTGACCAGCTCTGCACCTCTGTAGCCACAAAATGTTCCACACTAAAGCCTCTAACAGCCTGCAACATCCCGTTTCCTGGCAGTGTAAGCAGAGCTGGCCAGTAGCTCACCTCTCTCTCATGGCACTGAATGAATATAAGCACTTTGTCAAGTCTTCTGTAAATGCCTTCCGTGTGAGCAAGTTTGTAAAAGTATCTTATCATAGAATCATAGAATGGTTTGGGTTGGAAAGGACCTGAAGATCATCTAGTTCCAACTCCCCTGCCATGAGCAGGGACACCTTGCACTAAACCATATCACCCAAGGCTCTCTCCGACCTGGCCTTGAACACCGCCAGGGTTGGAGCATTCACAACCTCCTTGGGCTTGCTCCCAAATAATAGTTTTTAAAGTTCATGGCATGCAAAAGAAGGTTAAGTTTTATAATACTTTACAGTAAGTCTTAGCACAAAGCTATTTAGAAAAGATTCAGGTTTGGCTAAGACTGACCCTGTACAGAATAAATAACAGTTCTATGGAAGGAGGATGAAAACAGCTACACCCAGTCCCTGAATTTCCAGGCATAAGTCATCTCTGTTTCTCAGAATCTATTATTGTCTGAAAACAGCACACGTACAAAGCTGTAAGAGTAATATATTTAGCATATTTTAAAGGCCTGTATGCATAAATATGCTCATATAGTTAAAATATTTGCAGATAATATTATATTAAGGCTTCCCTCCTAGCCTGCAAGTGGATGATTTTTATTTTTTTCTCTTTCCTTAGTATCTTGTGTTGAATATCTTATAAAGTATATGAACAGGACTGAGCACAAGAGGGAAGGGAAGGTACAACATGCCTGAACTAGTACCTGTCCAGAAACTGCCATTACAGTAACAGGGTGACAGCATTCTTCCGTCAAAACTGCAGTGGGGGAAACCTCCTGGATTATGAGCTTCACCTCTTTTTTCCTGAATCTACCACAGACATGAATAGCAATACGATCCAAAATAGGATTTTCTCTTCATTTATACATGTACGTCAATGGAAATTTTGTTTCTTAAAAGTAACAGTTAAATGTGGAATGATGGCCTGGTTTAACACTTCTAGCATCTCCAAAACTCACACTGAAAGACTGAAATGTCTCCTGCACACTTCAGGGGCAATGAAAGCTCATTTTAAAAACTTATCACATACATACATGCATACATGAAACTTTTAAAAGGAAAGCAGGGCCATTTACATTTCTGAGTTACGCACCTTGGTCCTAAGCATACAAATAAAAATGTAAGATTACAGTAGATAAGACAGTTTTCTGTGGGAAGACTTGGTTTACAGAAATCAATAGATTTCCTTCAAAAAAATGTGCCTTCATTAAAATGCAGCAGAGATGTTTTTATATTAAACTAAATCACAAAGTGAAGGAGATCTAAAACAGAAAGCTCCATATCTTACCTTAGTATACTCATTTGTGATGGTACAAAGAATATAAAAAGCATTGAAACCTTACATACTTTTTAAAACCCAATAGAGAATTTATAGGAATTTGACTAGTTTTAACTTGGAGGAATAACGAGATAATATTCTGAAATCTCCAGGGGTGGGTGAAGGAGATAATCTAACAAATGAAAGGCTCATTATAGTTCTTGGAGATACATATTCAAATGCATAAATGAATCTTCCACTGAATGCTAAAACCTAATGGTTCTCCGATTCATGCCATTTTTTCTTTTACTAAGTTCAATAAAAAATGTTCATCTTGCAGACGGCCAAAGCTAGAGGAATAATGTTTCCCATCAGCATTAACTCTCTCCTTATCTTTGAGATGTTTACCTAGTCTTGAAGCTGTGACATATGGGAATTTCACACCTAGTGAATGTATTTTCATGTAGCTTGTGGCACAGGAGTGTAATCATTAAAAGAATATACACAAGTAAGAGTAACTGCAACAGCTGGTGACATTTACCAATTAGAATTACAGTTCTTTAAAACACTTCATCCTTCTTTAATGTGTGCAGGATAATTATCTTTGAAATTGCTGTGGAAAAAAAATTAATTTTCCTTTTAAACAGTGTCTGCCTACAGTGGAAATATGTCTGGGTGAGGAAGATTATCAATACTCCAACCATACGACTCTGTTTTAAAACCTCACCAAAATCATTGCAAGATAACCACCTTTGCTCATGGCCGGCCAAGCACACATTAAACATTGAATGGAGCAACAGTATATCAAATACTTCATTGTATCTCCATACTGCATGCAATGAATTTTTTTTTTTCTCTAAATATGTAAAAAAATAAAATTGTAAGCATCAAAACAGGCTCAGTGCTGTGTATTTAATGGTTCAACTTTTTTTAATATGGATTGTGTATAACATGGGAACCTCTGATTACATGATCCTCTATTGCTCTATTTTGGATACTCTAGAAAAAACCTCAGGTTAATGTAGAATAAAAAACCCAAATAACAAGTAATTGGATACACCTTAAAAGACAAATAAACAAACAAAAAAACAAACCTCAAAACTAACCGAAACTGAAATATGTTTAAAATAACTGTCACAGGAGGCATTTCATTACTAATACTGGCCAGATTTAAGCAATTCAGGCTCCAGGCTCTACATCTATACCCAATATAAGAAATTCTGCTCCTCTGAATCTCTAGCAGTACATCTGCTGAAGTTAATGGGAGAGAACAATTTTCACATCTCTGGGAGAGGAATTTAACCTGGTATATTTACCTTCATAAAGTTAAAAAAAAAAAAAAAGTATTCTGTCTGAAAATTTCCCCAGGAAAAAAACTGTTGGGATTTTTAAAATGATAAATAAAAAGTTTTGTAGGTTTGTTTTATTCAGAACAGCAGACAAGATGTTTTGCCTATCTGAAAATGAAAGAGAACCAAACAAAGAGATGAATGGAGAAACTGGAAACACAAAGACATCAAATAAAATACCAGGAAATGAAGAGTTGTAAATAGGGTTACTTTGTCGCTGGTTACACAAGTAACTGAATACACTGTCGAGTGAATGAGTTTAAACAAGGGTGTAGGCTTCAGCACATTCTTTTTAAGGGTTAATCACTAGTTAACCTGGCAAGATGAACATGCTGTTTGGGGGAAAAAAAATAAAATCCTTGTTAATTACATACTGCAAGTGCTCTTACTTCCTGCTGCTGCACCTAATCCTACAGGTGCAGGTTGTCTCTTTTACTATTCACTGGTAGGTGGGTCCAGATCGAAAGGCACTTTCCATAGCAATGAATTCAGATAAAGAAGAAACAGCTTAACTTTTCCCCTTTAAACAGGAAGACACTACCATAGTGTCTATTTAACAAGGAGGCAAGTTTTAAAATACTCGTTTCCAAGATAATGTAGAAGCTGTATTATGATTGACACACATCGTTCCCACTGGCAAAATTTGCTTGAGGCACCTAGTCAAAAGTAATGCTGCATTGCCTTGATTTCCAGGCATACAAATAACTTGCTGCTGAAAGGTTTGCAACAAGTGTAGTACTGCCACCAATATTAGGCTTTTCCTACAGGAGAGATACACTGAAGTTTCTGCACAGCTTTTTGCATTGTGACAGTTTGTCACAAATCTCAGTAAAAAAATGTGTGTTTTTGTAAATCCTTGATTTATGTTTATTCTCACTTTGGCATTTGTCACAGAACATTTCTTAGCATCAGAGAGTATTAAATAAATCTGTGTTCTTGATATTACCAAGAAAAAAATCTAGTTTTACTGAGTTGCTGTCCTATCAAGGCATTAATGTTTCAAAGAAGAGAAGGAGATGTTGGAGACTAACTATATAACAAACTTCCTTCCATTTTGTGTTTGCTCTCCTCTCCTCCCCCTTCCCCTCCCCTGCATCGTGGAGGGAGACATTTTAACTACAGCATGGATGTCACAATGAAATGAAAAGGAGTGATGAGCTGGAGGGGGCTATTGTGAGAAACACAGGAGCTCCTTATTCAGTGTCCACTACCAAATGAAAGAGCACGTTGGAAATTTCACTGCCTGAAATTTCTCCTCTAAATACTGCCCTCTGCTCATCGCGTGGGCTTTGGAATGACAGAATTAAAATATCATTAAAATATTTTTGGAATAGAAACTACTTGTACTCTTGACAAGATCCTCGCTCCATTAATTTCTTACAAATCAAAATACATGAGCCAAGCAGGAAGATGCATCATTTGTATAATCAGTCTATTATAAATGTTACATTTTATTCTCTCATGGTTATGGAAAATAATATTTTGCTTAAATTGAAAAATACAATACATCTTCCTGTAAAAGAAAAAGCAACCTTGGCAAAGGCTAAATGTGTGCATTTTGAGAACTGTCGTGCAGCACTTAAACTGTGATTCTGCAAGCGTTTACGCAAACAGTTTTCCATATATGTGTAGTTTCATTGCATCCATGGGGCAACAAAGGAATGCAAGTGTCTGCCCCAGGATCTGGATTCTCTAGTGCAAAAGGTCTTCAAAATGCTGCAGTACAAAACCAGGTATTAAAATATGCCTTTTCCCCCCAAATAACTATGTTCTACTATGGTATTTTAACTTTTCTACTTATTAGCAGCCGTCTTTCTGATTTCCATTTAAGAGGTACCTCAGAAATACTGCTGATTTAAAACAGACAGTGCAGGGTTTTCCCTCCATTTCTGCAATAGCTTATTTTTACACATCTGAAAACAGAAGGGCCAGTTCCCAGTTTAGGGCATGCAGATGAGGAAGAGGTGGAAGAGGAAGGCAGGAGAAGCCCTGAGCATGAGGATAATGACTGTTCTGTGCTCTTTATTTTTACACAGAGGTCTCCTAGTAAATCCTGCTTAAAAATGAATGGCACAGTATGGCCACACCTGAATAAACACTGATTTCCCAGAAAAAGTAGTTTGCTTCTTAAAACCAGCTAAATGAGGCCATGCAGCACAAGCGTCATACTTGGAAATTGAGGTATCTGGAAGGTCCCAATGTATATCTGCCTGGTAGGAGGCAGAGTTCCTACTCTGGCCTCTACAGGACCCCATAAGTCAAATGCTGGCACATGTGTGAGGCCCCTTTTCATACCTTTGATCCCTTCATAAAGGCAAGAGTGGAGCAAGAGGCCTGGCATTGTGTGAGCTGTGCACTGCTGTCAGCTCTGGGTCCTTCAAATGACCTCTCTGCACTTGGTATGACAGGTGGCCTACAAGAAGTGAGGGAGGATTAGGTTCCTTCTGTACCCTCTAAATGACTGGCATAGATTACTGGCTCCTACAAAGGGATTTAAACATACCTTTCCGAACAAAAAGCAGTATATACATATGCATGTAACTGGATGCTCAATTTGTATGAGTAATTGCTCTGGTTGTAGTTGGAAATGAGGCAAATGTGTGTAGAAATGACGAGATACAGACACAACTATTTGCATGGAAAACTCACTTACATGGTGAGAAATTCAACACAATGAAATTATATACATGATTGAGGAATAACAATAATTTGAGATTAACAATAGACATTTTTTGCCCTCAATTCTACTGCATTCTTTCCC